CTTCAAAAGATGGTGTGAAGTATTTTTCAATATATAACATAGACTTTGTAAAATAATCTTTTCTATATCTACCATCAAAACAATATCTTAATTGCTACTGGGATATATTTCAGAGAGGATTTTCCTCCAGAAACCAAGAGACAAAATGGTTGCTTTACCACATGCATTTTTCAGAGAAAATCATCTTGTTATCACCTAATAATAGATGGTCCTAAAAAATGAAGTAACTTTCTGTCTGGTGTCATCTGGTGCATGTGTGGCAACATTTAGCGCAGTATATGTTTCAGCACACTTAAAATACATCACATATGTGCGGGCCAGCTCAACATTAATTCCGTAGTTTCCACAAATTAGAGGATTCTCCCTCTCTGTAAACTGTCTCCTCTGCTCTTGTAGTGAAGATCTTCATGAAAATAGACTTCTACTATAAAACTGCTCACAATTTTGCACGATGAGCTCTATACTTTGTTTAGAACAGAATACCCCCCTTGGTGTTGATATTTGCATTGTAATTAATCTATAGTTTTACAATAAATGTAAAAAAAGGTTCCTTCCACTTTTGTGTTTTCAAAGATGGCATTTTTATTTTGTTTGCAAACATGATTTCATGCTCTTTTAGTCATCTGTATATAATAATCAAATCTGGGCTCCTCAATTCAGCTTGATCCTGTGGTTATTCTCTCTACTGCGGAGCTGCTTTATCCTCAGAGGACCAAAAGCAGCAGCGGATTCTCCTGAGAGTCAAATGTTAAATGATACGTTTTCATTTAGAAAGCCAAATGTCATCATCGTGTCTCTGTCCCTTTTGCTTTTAGAGCCTCTGGTTGATGTGGTGAGCTGGCAGAGCAAGTAAGAACATGGGAGGGAGACATTTATCATCCTCCAGACTTTAGAGCTGTAACTCTGCCTGCTAGGAAATCCAATGGACAGTCAGTGGAAAAAAAAACCCTCTGGTGATTGAATTACAAGAGTGACATTGTTACAGACCTGCTGCTTTGGTCTTTAAGTCTCCCATTTTTGCGTGAAAAAACACACACGAATGCATCATTAACAGACTAGTTATCCTGTACATGCCTTTGCATTTTTCTTTGTCCTGGTTTTACTTAGGTTTTGCTTTGTTCTGCTTTCTTTTCCCGATCGAAATGTCTATTCTCTGAGAACATTCAATTCTGTCAAAGCAAACTTAACGTAATGCTGGCAGCCATGCACTTTGTTTTCCTTTTTTTATGGGCTTTTTTTTCACAAGCTTGTCAAAGATGATATCATGCATGTCAAAGACTGGGATACGCTCATGTTCCAGCATTATACCTGTCTGCGTGCCCCATGTTTCCATAGCAAGTCCAGTCATTTGAAATTTCAGAAATTTCAGAATTTGCAGAAGCGTTGCCTTTATCTTAATTTTGACACAATGCCAACTTGCCAATCTCTTTTTTTAAAAGGTTTCATGGTATCTTTCTTTGCTTTTTCCCAGAGCTGTCTGCTCTGCGATGCCGTCTGCCCTGAGATGCTCGCTGTTGACTCTGAGACACACAAAGGCAGGAGGAGTGAGGGCCCCCCCCCCCCCCCCCCCTTAACGTAAAAGAAAGAGACAATATAAAATGTCTTAAATCATACTGTACCTAACAAAGTGTCAAATGTATTAGCTGAACTTTGGTCTGTAAAGAACACTCAATCCCTCCTGTACACATGGCAGACATTGATGAATCGTCTCAGCTGAAGACAGGAGAGCCTGCTCTTGCTTTTTAAGAAATCCCTGTCACCAGATCGCTGCTTATTGACAGTGTTTAATATCATATCCATTCAGATCATATAGGCCAATTCTCATTTCCATCCTGCCAAGTATCTGTTTGAGCTTGTGGCAGTTGCGAGCCCTCTCACGTTTAGGTTTCAGAAATAATATTGTTAAAATAATAGAGATAACAGGAATGGTGTATTAAAGTCGTGACTTTTTTGATTGGTAGTTTCTTTTCATTTTTATATATGACAGTTTTAAAATAAGTCAATTATTTTATACAAAATAACTAACCAAAAGTCAAATAATTATAATTTGTGAAAATATTCATTGAAGATGCAACAGAAGATGAAGAATAATGACTCAAGTCAAGCAAGATGTCATTAAATCCTGAATCCTTAAATCCAAAATTATTTATGAATCATTATTTCACATAAATATGAATTTCTAATTAGCAAAGGACATATGAAGAAGAAAAATATATCACAAAGAATTGACTTAATGGGCCCTGTCTGAAACATTCTCAGTGCCCAGTCTTACTGTCATTCAAGGATAAAGAGTGCAGATAAGTGGAGGAAAATGAATGGATGGAAGAGCAGAGGCTTTGCAGCATATTGTGACGTGGCACATGTTGGACAAATATTATGTTTTTGTGCTCTATGCCAGTTTGAAGCAACATCTGAATCCATAGCCCACCTGCTGCCCGGACAACACAGAGCGTCCACTGAGGACGCAGTGGGAGGTATCACGGGCTGCCCTGATTGATGACTATAGGTCCCGCAGGAAGTAACCCCACCACCATGAAGGAGTGTTTTCCGAACCCCAAGTGGTATCCGGGAAAATATGAACGACTCCGGTCAGGGAGCGTGTGTACTCAAAGGCCATCTTAATGTTTTGATATGCTGAGTCGCTCGGGATTTTGCAGTGAACAGGGAAAAGGAATCACCCACTGCAAAATGGAGCTCATGCCACCCAAATTCCAGTGGGTATCCTAAAAGCTGCTATTAAAACATTTCTGTGCTATTTTGTTTGGAAAAGCTGTTTGAAGACTGGAACTGTGCGCCTCTAATAAATGAAATCCTTTTTAGGGGGAAGAGTTTCTTTTTTCTCTCTTTTGCTGTTTCTTTCTTTCTGCCTTTCTTTTTCCTTTCTGAGAGAAATCTCACATGAACATAAATTATGTTCCATACTATATAAACGTACTATAATACAGTTTGAGACATGCTGCATTCAGCCTAAATTGTCAATACCAAATAAATCACATCAAACAGCTGGAATAGAAAATGAAAACAGTTTTTAAAGCAAAACTACACACTCAAAGCACAAACACCTGCAACTCTAATTTAGTTATAAGCACCATGTTAACCTTTTAACCATACTTCTCCCTTTCTCGGGTTGTTTAACTTATCAAAGGTTATATCTGAGTGTCCAGTTGGGAAGAATCGAGAACACAAAATTTGCTTTTCATGCTGAGGAACAACAAAACAACAATACATGAATTTTGCTGAGCAATGACTCTCAATCCCAGTTCCAAAGAGCACGGAAACACGTAATGACCACATATCTTTAAGATACACGTTGAGCCTTCTTCACTATGAGCAGATCTGATCACCCTTTCAGTCAAGGCTCATTTAATATGATAGTTAAATGATAGTTTTGCTATTACTCAGTCTGGTGAAATTGTTGAAACCCTCAAAGATTATTTGATTGATCAGGTTTATCACTGTTTAGAATAAAAAGATATGATCAATAATCTCACTGACTGACTTTTTTTTCTACCAAATGAAAACAGAGAAAGTTTCTGTTTGCTTGATGCTTTAACAGGTCAAATAAATGTGAATTATCAAAACAAGCTCTTCATTGCTTTTTCAGAAAAATTACCAAAAGGGACAAGTGATTTAATAACCTCTACATAAGCATTAATTGCTAGATTTATTAGAGATGGACTGCATACCGAATATTATGTTTTGTTTTTTATTAAAATGTTCTTGCTGTGCTCATGAGGAATAAGCTTTTCAGAACAACTCATACACTCTTTATACTCAATCAAACTCAACAGAGGCTGTCACCATATGTGTTGCAGGCATTCTTTCTGACCTCTCCATCCCTGGACAGATACCAAGGAAGCACATACAAGCTTGTAGGAATTTAAATCTGACAATTGCAAAATGACATAATTACAGAGTTTCAGTGGTTCACAAAGATTTGGCAAATGAAAAATATGTGTGATGTCTTTTTTGATTAATTTAAAAAGCACTTAATATTTTCTGGAGGGGAATTTCTTTTCCCAAACAGGCCTGTTTCTGAGCTAAAGCATCATAAAATAGACAACGTTGCCTGTATCTTAAGGTCTTTGCCACTGACTGGAATAAATTCCTCCAAAGAAAAAGATGATTAAAATGATATCAATGCCACTTTTGCTCCGTACTAAACTGGTTAAAATTCTAATTTTTCAAGTTCCGTTTACAATGGCCATAAACAGCACGACTGGAGCTAAAAGTCAGCACGGAAAAGAGAATGATTCCAATGATTCTAACAACACACAATAAAGACGATCATCTAAATATCCCCAACCCGTGTTCAGAGGACCAGGGAGCTGTGAGAGGTGGCCTCGTCTGAGCTGGCACTGCCCAAACAGGCCACAGGAATAAACAGTTTACGCAGCCAGGCGCAGGGCAGAGCCTGTGCGCCCGTATGGGAAAAACCCCCGTCATCTCTCAGCGGGAAAACACATCCCCGAGTTTGCATGTGGGTGGACAGGACTGTTGGAGGCTCTCCTGTACACTTCGTTCATTAAGGTGTATACGATCACTAAGATTCCCATCACGACCAGTATCAATTACAACTCAGATAGCATCAGCGGAGGCGCCCAGTCTACAGAGAGCTCCATGCTCGAGTAAACAAAATTACGCTTCCCACTGAACACTTGTCTAATCAGCACCGACATTAAGGTTCAGTTCAAAATAAGAAATGGCATCCTGTGAGACGGCCTTAAAGTTTTCCTCATTTATCCAAATAGTTAAAAGTCACTTTTAGAATGAACCTCCCAGCAGAAGAGAAAAAAAAACGCTTTAATCTGAACTGGTAAAAAGCTTTGAGAGGCGTCCAAAGGAATGGAAACGATACATTTAATTCCTGGTTGTGCACAGCGAAATGAGCAAACGGGTCGTTGGGTCCAGACCAAAATATAATAAGTAAAACAAACAAACAAACGAAAAAAAACAACAACATAAAAACTCTTATTTCTCAAAATCTTATTGTTACTGTCCTTATAAGCCACTTCCATCGAAAAAAGATTATTATGATCAAGGATTATTCTCGGTGCCACTCCATGAATCTATATTGGAAAAAGAAACAGGCTAAAGCAACACAATGGCATTGAAAGTTGCCTTTATTTTTTTTAATATTCACAAGGAATTATAAAAATATATAATTAAAGCTTTTGCATATATTTTACATTTAGACAATTTATATATTTTGTTCACATCGTCAAGTCAGAATCGAGATCTTGATCACAATTTCGGTTAATAGGATTTATGTCGAATTACAGAGGAGCCCCCGTTTTTCTCAAATAACACATCAATGACAGATTAGATTTACACAATTTAGTCCTGCAGTCCCTATTAGATATGGTCCAGCAACATGAAATATCTGGGGGGGAAAAAACGGGGGAAAAAAAAGAAACTATCAACCAGTGATGGAAAGCACCGATACATCCATGTAAGCTTACATTCAAATGGCCACAGACCGATAAAGGCGACTCGGGAGGGGTATGAACAGGCCTGTGTCTGGCTGCCAGCAACGAAGCAGCTATTAGTGATCACTTACTGTTGGAGCGGTTGAAATGAGTTCATTTAAATATGTCTGGTAAATAAAGGGGGCCGTGAGTCCCGGTTATGATGACGAGGTAGGGAGACTGAGGCCGTGCACGCTGTTCAAGTCTTCATGTTGCTGCTGCTGCTTGCTCAGGGGGGTGGGGGGTTTTCTGTCTCCTGAGAAGCACAAATAGGAAATGCAAAAGGGCATTTGAATATTATTGCACGGATTAATGACCGTTTAGAAGTCTATAAGTGTATTTGTGAACAGTCACTTTGAAAAACGTCAATTCTCCCCATCAGCACCACCTGTTTAGTTAGATTAAAAAAAAAAAAGGATAGGTGCAGTTTTCATATTAAAATTATTTTGAGACACTTCTAAAGGTTAATTATTGGGAAGTGACACTGAATTACACTTCGATTTTGCTAAAAGTTCACAATCAATCTGGTCATTAATATTTAATTTGACTTTATTTTGTATAAATTATAGTGGTCCTGAGCATAAAAAAAATGCACAAGGGAGGGGCAGAGAGGAATACCACTTATAATAACAAAAACAACAAATGCAACATTATCAATAATAACAATCCCCCCCTCTAGGTGCAGAAGCCTTAAATGTGCAGGCTCTCCCTCCCTGCTTCCTACCTTCTCGGACTTGATGCTTGAAGGCCATCGGTGAGTGGATCTCCCCCGCGTGCATGCTCATCCCGCTGCCCGGGTGGGACAGGTTGGGGCTCTGCGGCTGCCAGTGGTGGTGGCCCGGGGCCACGTATCCGCCCGGGGGGCCGCTGTACACCCCGTACTGGTTGGTGGGAGAGTAGGCGCACGCCGAGACATAACCGGATAACGTGGAGGAGGGCTGCAGGGCGTGAGAAAACAAGCAGGGGCTTATTCTGGGTGTAAATGTTGGGGACATGTGACCCGCTGCAGCCCCATACAGGCTGGATCAGCACAGGTTAAATGCACGAGCTGGCTATTATTTTATTTGCAACAAAGAGCTGAACTATGCTTCAAAAGCTGCTTTACAGTCCCCACAGACAGCCTGGTTCTCAGAGGAAGGCATGCTCTTCCAAAACAAAACACATATTCAATTAATCAAATCCCACTGCGAGCTGGAAGCAGCCTTTAGCATTTTATAGCCCCACGTCACAGCTTTGACACATATTTAGTAAACAATTTGTTCATTAAATCTTTCTCTAAATCTTTCATCTGATGTTCTCCTGAGAAAGCTCAAAATGACCACAGCACCAGACGCTGAAATCAGACACCAGGTCACAGTGCGAGAGGGTGTTCTTTTCGCTTTTAAATTAAAAAACTAAAATCTTACCTGTGGATATTTTATATCAGCCTCGATAGCTGATTTGTCAATCCCGCCGACCGTGTGGGGAGCTGGGAAAGCTGCTCTGTTGACGCCGCTCCACTCCTCCATTTTTGGTGCATACCCCTCTGTCCCGGCGATGGCTGAATTGAAAACATTACCTTAAGTCAAATGTGCGCACAAAAGTTTAGTAAGGACAGAAAAAAAGGGTGCATTTCCATTTATAGTCGGGAGTAAACATTTAAACTGTTTTATCAAGTCACGCTTTTATCTGGAATACATTTAAATGGCTCCAGATCTATCTGTATTTTCATTTTGGGAATTAATCAAACAAACATGTCTTATATAATTGGGATAGTTTTTAACCCCCCCATCTAACTGCATAAACGTATAATTCCACTTTGTACAATGATTTAGGTATTATTTATATAGTTTTTCTATCGTCTAAAATCTATAACGTTTTTTTAAAGTAGAATTTTATCATTAGCATTCTTCTCTGATTAACTATGGTCATTTTGAGTGGTCGTCTGTAGTTGCCACACTTGTTATTATTGATAATATAAAACGTATTCATTATTGAGTACTCTTTCAATAAAAAAGGGTTTTAGACTAAGCAAATAATCTTAATCTTTACGACCATGTTGTTTTAGACGTACAGGATCTATGCGTAAATAAAGACAGTTCCACATAAGACAGGATAGAAAAACCCAATATGTTTCCCTAAAAGCCAGCGAAACTGCATGCAACATTTAACCGAGGGATCAGGTTGGATAGAGCAGGTGAACAAGGTGTTTGCAAATGCATCATCATCCCATGAAAAGGCCTATTGAGAGTGGCCTTAATACGTTCTGGATGAATGGTGAAATGGAGGCCTGTATAACTATTAATGGACATATTGTGCTGCCTGTAGCTGAAACGTGTTGCAGGAAAGGATCTGGATATTAATCAACCAGGAAACACTGCAAAAGGCCTCGGGATGGTGTTTTGGAGAACAAAAGGAGCTAAATTATTTTGGCACCGAGGAGATTTCGACTAAGGCTAAACCGAGCGTAAAGGCTGGGGTTTTTTTTTTCCTCTCACCTGTGGGATCCATAAAGGCTCGTATTCCAAGGATGTTGCTGACGGTATGAGGCGAAGGCCAAGCCCTGGATAAGCTCATATGTCCAGCCGTGACCGGTACTCCAGCGGGGTTGCCCATTTTAGCGCTGGTGGGCGACATAGTGTTCGGGTAGGAGTAGGGGTATATGTGGTTGTAGGAGAGGCCGGCCTGCGCGGAGGCTTGCTTGCTGCTTTCATACTGGTTAGGCTGGGAAAGATTTCCGATCTTGTTGCGTAAAATCCGGCTGATGGAGCTGACGGACGGCACGTTGTATTTGTCACAAACGCCGTCGGCCAGAAGCCTGTCCCTGATCTCCCAGGCGAAGATCCCGGGGTCATTTTGTTTGTATTCCCTGATGTTTTTCACCACGTTCGGCGTGGTGACCCGTGGCTTGCTCCCACCGATGGCACCGGGCAAGATGGAGCCCGTCTCGTTGTACCTCGCTAGAATCTTGCTCACGCAGCCGTGGGAGACTCGGAGCTGTCGGCTTATGTCGCAGGGCCGGATCCCGAGCTGAGCCAGCTCCACTATTCTTAAACGTATGGCGTTGGGCAGGGGTCTCCCGTTGACGAACACACCGCCCAGCTGGTTCACCTCTCCATAGGTTTGCTCTGAAAAAGACATCCGAGAATTACACGTTTGAACTCAAATGAGCAGAAATACGATATTGTCACAGCCTAAATTTAAGGACGATTTATTTTATTTAAAAATAATAATACATTAGACATTATTTAATGGAGCGGCCTGCATCATGTGACAGCCCATCTGCAGCAATTCACACCACAGAACTGAGGTTAGACAGTTACACTTGTCTGCCCACAGGAATTGGTGACCCCTGGTTGGTAGCCGCTATTTTACAAGAGTACAGAAATGTGCAAATTGTTCGGCATGGCTTCACCTTCCATCGCCCCTTACACACACATACACACACACACACAATCACAAAACATAATTAAATATGGCGAGTTTGAAGACCGGCCACCGAATTATTCGAATAAACACAGTCGTAACATTTGTGGAGGGGTTCCATTTACGTTTTAAAGCTTCAAACAGTCCTTCCCGGTTAGCAGCCCTGGAAAAGTCCATTATGAAACAAAGCTGTCAAGTGGGTCGTGAGTAAGAATCCTCTTCATATGCACATAACAGACAGCGTTTCTGTCTTTACGCAGGCGTGGGGAGACCGGTTACGCTTCCACAGGATCCCCGCCACTGAAGCATGCACACGGTAAGGGCTTACCCATTTGTCTATTTGTTTCGAGATGCTCGGAAATATTGGAGTCCCCTTCAAATGGCTGAAAGCGTCCGAGCGAAGTCAGAAGAGGAAGGGGGGACGAGTGGAACAAGAAGTGGAAAAGGTGGACCTCCCGTAACCTCGGCCGACTGCGACGCGCTCCCCTTGTTTTTTTGGGAAGCAAGTGGCTGCAGCGTACAAAGGGGCCAAAGTGATCTTCATCCGATAAATGCAAATGTAAGTTATCCCGAGGAGTCCGGAGTCTGCTGGAATTAATTTGACGCGTTCTCCACGTCAATCTTTGCTGTTATACGCCGAGCCTCTGCTTTGGTTTCATTGGTTGTCCTGCGCTGGAAACGCAGTCAGCCAATACAAACCCCATCCGGTTAGAGCAGGGCAGCCTCCCTGGATATTTTGCATAGGGGAAGTGGCAGTGAGGGAAACGTTTCATCCAACAAGCAGCCCTCTGGTAAGGACTTAAACATCATGTGAGATAGATTCATCCGAGTGACTGCGCAGACTAAACCTTCCTGAATCTTTTTGATAACACTCTCAGCTTTAAATGTAGTTGATTCTCCTTTCAAAACGAACTTTAATAACGGAAACATGGTATTTATTTTATTTTTACAAGCATTGAGCTCCTATAATAAATATAAACACAATAAATCAGTCATTTTAGTGCTGCGTCCTGATAATAATTTTTATTTAGTTCACGTGGAATGGTTTTGCAAAACATATGCTACTTCTGGTGTTTTGTGATGCACCCAAACAGAGAGGCAATTTAAAACAACCTGGCTGAATGATGCATGTTTTGATAGGAAATTTGTTACTTATAATTACATGGATGGACGCGTAATTTTACAGGATAGAGGCTGAATCGTATCCCAATCTGTGAAAAATAGAAACAATTGTTTTGATTACAGATGAAATGTTTAAACGTTTTGCATTTGTCTCTTAATTGATATTTTTTCTCTCTGAAAATCAAATACTAACTTATCCCAAAAAGACCCTGGGACAGAATGTTCGGTATATAGAAGGTGAGATCGAATCCGTGGACCATCAGAGCAAAGCAAACCTTGTTCACCATTCGCCTGAGAGTTTTTATAAGTCAGTGTTTGGGCATCAAAGATGGGAATGGCCTCATGTAATCGATACCTCTGTAGATCTCAGAGCTCCCAGACTATGGGATATCAACTGGATGCCAGAGACGTACATTATCACAGCATGTTTTCGGAGTTTCCTGTGCAAGTTTAGAAGGTATCGTTTATAAGCTCGCAAAACGTTACTTGTAAAACTTAACAGTCGACCCAATGGTAACAAGGTGCAGTGTCCCTATCCCCCTCGCACACGCTCCCACATCACCCCCCCCCCACCCCCTCCTCTCCCCTCTGTCTGCTACGCTCCACCATCCAGATCTTGGAGCAGGACACATGGAAAGCATCAGGCCGGCTCAGAAGAGCAGAGTCTGGGTTCCTGGAGAGTTCTCTCCCAAGATCTTCTAAACTAAAGATTCGGTCCATGTATTTCTGTGGATTATCAGTTTACATGAAAAAAAGTGATCAAGTATATTCATGCTGTAACAGCATTTGCATGAAAGTGGATATAGAGGGAATTTGACAAGAAATTTACAATGTTTTTTACTGTTGAATATGGGCCGGAAATTGAATTTTGAGAACACGCTTCTGGTGTTCTTCTATCAACTTCTCTCATCAACTGGCTGATATATCTGAGTCTGAGTCTTCTCTCCGTTGCTTGGCCAGCAGGATCCCCCTCATCTGGACAACCCAGGAACTGCAGGATTTTTCCCAGCACGCTTTGGGACTTTTTGGAATTTTAAAATTCCTTTGTGCACGTTTGGTAAAGTGAAATTGCACATTAAAACGAACAGTTTGCACATACTTTAGTTTGATCTCGCCAATAACTATAACTATCATTTTCTTGTGCATTTTCTTTCCATATTGTGGTTTAGTTCTGGAGCTTTTAGGGTTTTTTTTCTGTCTTCTCGGTGAGATAATGGATGTTTAATGCGGGCCTTGCTCTGGCGGTTGTGCTGTGACACACATCCAACAGATGGATGTTGCTGTTCCCTGGTTGCTGTTTTTGTTATTGTAACGGCCTCTGAAATATCAGAAAATTAGGAAGGGGAAAAACACCTTTATGTCCACGAGCTGTAAATAAACACGTTAGATTTTTAGTTTCTCCCCATCTTCCGTTTTTTTATGTTGGGCTTTATCTTTGCTTGTTTTGTTTTCTGTACTCTCTACTAACCAGTTATTCTTTTTTTAGCCTTTTAATTGTTTAAGTTGATGGCTTGTGACCCAGAAATGTCTGATTAAGTGGCTCAGAGGGTACATTTTGCGTAATTAGGATGGTTTTTTAAGGTGTCAGCTCAGACTTTGCAGAACTGATAACCATGGAATTCTGACCCTTTCCCAGTGCTGTACAGTTGTATTTCTGGTAGTATTGTGGAATAACTTGGACCAATTTTCAGAGTCGTTTTCTCCAACGAATGAATTTTTCTAATTGTATTCGTGAATTTTATTTTTATGTGTTCAAGGCAAAAACATCGAAAGCTTCAAGGAGTCTAAAACAAATAGGATGGCAGAATCCGGCTGACGACAGCCGCCGTGCTGTGACACTTCCAGCTGAGACACGCCTTCACAAAACACCAGGCCCAAATGTTCTGTCTCTCAAAAAGAATCCAGACTGAATTATGAAGTGCACGCGGATGTCTCTGCAGGATTCCATCTGTGCACAGCAGCCTGCTGTTGTCATGAACTTTTGAGAGGGAGAATAACCGCCTAGAAACTATTCTTTTAAAAAGGTGGACGGGAGGAAAAGGCCATTTTTTAGATTTTTTTACTATTAGGTTTTCATATCGATGACTGTTTGTGTTCAATGAAATCATTTAAAATCTACTCGTTGCTTTTTTTGTATTACTGTCATATTTTGCTTTAATTTATCCTACAAAAATTATTTCCAGCACCAATGCTGATTATGTGCAACAAATACATTTTTTATACCTTATTATTGCAGATTATTTCCATTACAATTCCAGATGTTAGTGACGAGTTTCAACCGCCATTCGCTTTGTGTATATATATATATATAATGTACAATGTAAAATATATAATTTAAAAGTACACCTTTTTGGCAACTTTTTTGGACGTGCAGAAAATAAGAAAATATTAGGTCAGTTTTTCGTTAAACTTGTGAGTCAGAGACCCCTCAATATTCGTAAATTAAACAGGCAATTTATATATATATATATAGGATCTGATTTTGATACGTCAGCAACCTAAACAAACTTTTCCAGATTGCTAGATTTCTCCCCAAATCGCCTTCGCAGAAGACACCGGTGAACTCATCCAATCGACACCTGACACCCGCAAGGTGCACTGACCCCAGACTGCAAATATTGACGTAGGTTTTAAGTGTCATTAAAGGATAAACCTCCAGGAGTGTGCTTTGTCTTTAAAGTCTTAAGACGAATTTATAGTTGTATTTTTCTTAGTCTCAGAGGCACAGAAAATGTGTGAGAGTGTGTGTCTGCAGGAATTGATCGTCCTGGTGATTTTTCAGATGCGATTAGACCTCTGTCAGGAAAGAAATCCCTCCGCAAATACTGCAACAGTTGAAATGTGTAAAGATAGGCGCATGGATTTCTTTTTTTCATGTGTTCCCACCTTATTTCGTTAGTCTGATAAACAGCTTCCATCAGTAGTGAGCAGCACGCCGGGCATTAGCCAATCATCTCCAGGTAAAACTCTTACATCTCTACAAAGCCAGAATGTGTGTGTTTCTGTGTGTGTGTGTGTGTGTGTGTGTGTGTGTTTGATATGGTTTCAATTTTCTTTCCACAACTGAATGAACCATAGTGTTTTATTGAAAAGTTTTCTTTGTGTCTACGGTTTTGATTTAGTGTTTGTGAGTTTAGTGATCTCAGAGCTCAGTATGGAAATTATTAGGCAGGATCCAGCTTGCCTGTGTTTAACACACCAGGAACAACATTAAACGCTGTTTAGAGTGCATGCATTTCTATCTTTTCTTCAACAGTCTATGCCAGTTGCCGATGGGTGCCATGGAAATGATAATTTATCTTTTGTTTGTTATGGTGCAGGAACATTTGCTCCTATCTGAGCAAACGGTGCTGAATGCTTAAAAAATCTAAAGTTTCAGAGTTTTGGTCTAAAGCTGCTGCTGCTCATTATTAAGGGAGGCGAAATCAGTGTTTATCTTGTTGAAAGCCAACCAAGCCCAACCTGTAAAGCAGTAAACAGATTCCTTGGTCAAGTTGCCCCCCCCCTTCCTTCCTCACCAGAAAAAAAGGAAAAAGATTTGTCCAGTTGTATCTGATCTAGAGGTGGTGATGTGTAGTTTCTTTGTGCTCCTGCTGGTGAGATTCTGCTAAAACGAGGCTTGGAAGGCAGCGAGCTCAGTTCTTTTATAGCCACAAGACCCACTCTGAGCTGCAGAACACGCCTAATGAGGGCGTACAGCGGTGCCATGTGAGACATGCCAGCTTTTACCAGGCTGGATAATTGCTAGTGACCTTCACTAAATACGTCTCATGTGTCTTTTTGTTCCAAACACACTTCTAATTATTACATTGAAAGTGTTGTCTGAGTATTTAGAGTGTAATTTCTCACTTATTTTTGTATGATATGAGGAGACTGAGACATTTTGTCACATATCTCAGAGGAAAATCATAATTAAAAGTGGCAGATAGAATGTCAGTGAGAACAAAGGCATACAAAAACATCTCCATTCAAAACATGCCATGAATCATCAGGATCTAATGCACCATTGCTGCTATTATGTCTCTATGCCTATGTTGGAGTTACACCAGTGTCAGACTGCATTTCCACATAATTGTTCACATTATACAATTACCATGATATAATTGACTCGTAAAATGGACAGTTATTGTAGTCACATATCAATAACAACAGATGACTGTGATTCACCAGCATAAAACTGTGGTTTCTAACAAAGAGACTCCTCATACACTCATTATGTTGCTGAGTGGGTGTATGAGTGAGGGCGGTTGCCGTATTTATTAGGATCTACGGTTAATACAGATGAGGATAAAAATACCATTTATAGAAACTGAAAGTAGCCCTCTCATCAAACTCTAATTAGTCTAAAGTGTTTCTGTTAGAGGTAGCTGTCTGGTGTGAGGGATTAAGCGTGCCATTGAAGTAGAAATGTTATTTTATTAGACACTACATCACACAAGTTGGGTTTGATCCCTTCTGTGGAAAGTCTTCAAAATAGCGGCTGAACAGCAATAGAGAAGATTGTTTTTAGTCTTAGAGCAAGTACTAACATGCTCATAGCTTTGGTCAAATGAGATAATACTACTGTAAA